CAGTATAAAGAACTATCTAAAATGAAATTTTGACAATAGACAGAGTAAGACATAAGCAAATTGACCAACTACAATCGATTGTTACAAGACTAATCGACTGTGGTTGGTCAATTTGCTTACTGTTTACATTTTACCCAATTCCATTGTAGATGGCCTTTAAGGCCTGTTCGTTTTCGAAGAACTTCTGGTGCAATAATTGAAACAATAAATTTGTTCGTTTTCGATTAATTTATTGAAGTATTGCACACTAGTGCAAAGAATGTACATTAAACTTTTTTTTTATCGACAATAACATCACATAGCGCTGTTCGTTTTCGAAATGTAACAGCATGTAGTGCAGCAATTCACTATACTACTTGCACTGAATCTCGGCTAGTGCTGCCAGTGCAGCGATATCGAGTGCAGAAATCAAACTAACAGATACGGGCTTATATTCTTGAAATTTTTGCGTATACGTAAGTTTCATTACGTAACTATTTTATGATATGATTACATCTGCGCAAAGAAATTTATGTATATGCAAAAATTTCAAGGATATGGGCCATGTTTATTTTCAAAAAACTTCTGAACTAGTAAATTAGAATGAAACAAATATACTTTCATTAATAATATGCAATATTTAATTTTGCTAAATTATATGAAGGAGCTTCTTTCTTTCATGTTTAAGAATTAAGTATTATACTACACACAATATATACATATAAATATTATTAATTAAAAACTAATAGTGATAATAAAATTATAATAAAATTACCTTCGTTCGAGTCCGTACCAAATAATGCAATGTGATGCGCCATGTTGTTTATTACATTGTGGTGTTCTTTCCTTAATTATACTTTGCACTGATGTGAACTAGTGCTGTATTTTCCTGTCCTAGTTCAGTTTAGCTCAGTGCAATTCTAGTGCAGTTCTCGTGCAATAAAAACGAACAAACCTATAAATAAGAAATATTTTAGAAAAGATATTTTAATGACTCGTTTACGACCATAACTATTAACTTATGTCATAATTCATAAGAAACTGACCAGTTACAGTCGATTATTTTTGTATAATTTGACTGCGGTTGGTCAATTTTTTACGGACTACGGCATAAGTTAACAATTACAGTTTGCATAAATGAGCTATAAATCTTCTATTGTTCTAAATAATTTCTTGTTATTTTTTTTACTCTAAAAGATATTTTGAAGACTTCTGAAAAGTATCTGTTTTACACGTCTTTGGGATGTCTCCAAAACGGTAGTCCATGTAACTACTCTTTAGTCGACATAAAAAGTGAACAGTTTCACGAGAAAAATGTTTTATTTCTAGGTGGAAAAGTTACATGATGAAAGTTGTGGAGTTCAAGAGAAACTTACACGTGTCCTTTCTTACGAAATACGATCGCTACCCAAGACGTATTTTAAACATTTGTGCTGTTGAAGCGGCAGCGATCCCTCGATGCACGCTTCTGTTTACGACATACAAAGAAAATATCGAGTTTACATCAATCCACAGTTGATGTTGTCCTACAAACAATATCTCTTAATAATTCATGATAACGATTTGCCTGGCAGGGAAGGGAAAAACAAAAGCTTCCTCAATATCGAATCGTCGGGAATGTCGTTATATTCACGCTACGTGTTGTGTCTATTGCTCTATTTCGCAACGAAATGGTTAGATATTTCACATTAGATTTATAATTGTATCGTAGATCTACATGATTTTTTATGAAATTTTTCTCATGATATATACACGATCGCTTTTCACGTAAACAATCACATCGTTATAAGTCCGCGCGCGCGCGGGACAGTTTTTCTAAAAAATTACGAACACTTGTCATTACGAAATTACTTGTCATTTGAGATTTGTTCTTTGTAACTGAACTAATATATTTTCAGAACTTAAGAAGAAATATGACTTGGTGTAAGAAGAAAGAGAGAAAGAAAACTAATGCAAATTTCTAAACAGACTTTCATGACTATAATAACGTGAGACAATCGCTAATGAAAATTTTACAATTTTTTAAATTACATTTATAAAGCAAGTATACTATATTGAATTAAGTATTAAATTTACATCATAGAGTAAATTATTTGTTATATTCAGTAAATTTATTAAAGGTTACACGCAAATTTTCATATTATACTTAACATGACATATTGTTTGGAGCAAACTTTAAGAATATTTTCGTATTTCTATTTCGAAATTTTGTGTGATAAATATAAGTGCAATCTAACCAATCATAAAGAACTCAACATTGCCGAATTTCGTAGTATTTAAAGTTGCTGTATATTTACATACATATACTGTATATTTACATACATTCATTTACTTGGGCTGGTGTAGCGAGTTCAGGTACAAAGAACAGACCATTGGACTGCTTCGGTAGTTCTAATGTTAATTACAACCGAGCAGACAGTTTGTGCGTGCAGACGAATACGCGATAGTCACGTTTGGCACGATATAATCATCACGAAACTGTCATTTACTCGACAGTTGGGGCGATACAAAATGACGTGCGCGCGTGCTCAGCCACGTGCAGTTCACGCATTCACAAAAGCTCCCGCTTTTGTCACTACGCCGCTTTAAGTAATCTACAGTGTGCTCTTTGCTTCCTGTCTCTTATTCTCTATGTTTCTCTGGCTTAAGGCTTAGAATTTAAGTCGAAAAGAGATAATGAGAAACGGACAGAAAGCAAAGAAAACATTGATGAAGCTTCAAGCTTGATCTACAATGTGTTATTTGCTTCATGTTTCTTTTTCTTTATTTCTTTCTGATTCACACTTTAAGCTTTAAGCCTGATCTACAATATGCTCTTTGCATTCTGTTTCTTGTCTTCTGCCTTTTTCTGGCTTAAAGTTTAAGGTTTGAGTCAGAAAGAGATAAACAGAAAGAAGCAGGAAGCAAAGAGCATATTGTAGATCAGGCTTTAAGCTAGAAAAAGACAGAAGACAAGAAACAGAACGCAAGGGCATATTGTAGATCAGGCTTTAATGACTCAAGCTTTAAGCTTGATCTATAATATGTTATTTTCTTCCTGTTACTTTTTCTTTATTTCTTTCTGACTCAAGCCTTAAACCTTAAACTAAAAAAGACAGAAAACAAGAAACAGGAAGCAAAGAACACATTATAGATCAGGCTTTAAAACTTCTTTCTCTTTATCTTTTTCTGACTCAAACCTTAAGCTTTAAACCAGGAAAAGACAGAAGACAAGAAACAGAATGCAAAGAGCATATTGTAGATCAGGCTTAAATCTTAAACTAAAAAAAGGCAGAAAACAAGAAACAGGAAGCAAAGAACACATTGTAGATCAGGCTTTAAGCTAGAAAAAAACAGAACAAGAAACAGGAAGCAAAGAGCACATTGTAGATTAAACTTTACAGAGCTTGCGGTTTTACCCGATGAATATTTGAATGTTGTCTTCGAACTTCACAGTTAGTTCCCATTTAATACTTCAAAAGCGCATCTTCTCGTTTGTTACGGTCGATCATGCGACTCGACCGCTCACGCACGCGAAAAAAGTGGAGAATCGATGAGTCACGTGTCACGGCTCTTCTCTTTGCGAAAATATAAACCCTTGGAGCAGGGTTGTGCCGATTTCAAGATTACATCTACGCGGATTGTTTCTACGTAATGTATTCATGGTCGTTTCTCATGTGGACAGTAATTCATTATACACACACACACACACACACACATATATATATATATATATATATATATATATATATATAAAATTATATATATTATATTATAATATATAGGGTGTCCCGAACATGATGACTCTTGATGAGAACGTAGATCGGATTGAGGTGAGCAAGAAAGTCCTGTGCCGTTTTGCGATATTCGCAATAATAGTCAAGATATTAATTAAAAAAATTGGTGAATGATCACGCGCAATATGGTAGATGAACTGCAGTGGCGCCGTCTGTCGTATACTTATACATTAAATCAAACTGAACAAAAAGTTCTTTACTATTTTGTAAATTACCATATAGATTTTTAGATATTAATTAAAGAAAATTTATGCATTATGGTATACAATCATATATGTAACAATTTTCTTTAATATTTAAAAATCTATGTGGTCATTTGCAAAATGGTAGAGGACTTTTTTATTCAGTTTGACTTAATATATAAGTATACAACGGCAGACGGCGCTACTGCTGCAGCTCATCTACCATATCGCGCGTGATCATTCACCAATCTTTTTTAATTAATATTTTGACTATTATTGCGAATATCGCAAAACGGCACAGGACTTTCTTGTTCACTTCAATCCGTTCTACGTTCTCACCAAGGGTCATCATAGAAGTTCTCGGGACACCCTGTATATATAAAATTATATATTATATGTTATATATAAATATATATATTATGTATAATTATATATGTAATATCTAAATATTATAACTCTTTAGACATCAAAAAGTTACGTAAACACTACATTTTTTTAATAGAAAATATCAAGAGATACGAATCTATTAATGTTTTTGCGATTCAGTAAAATTGAAAAGAGATAATGAGAAAACAAAACATGTTTTTAAAAACGATAACACTCGAAAAATTGGCCTAGGAAAACCTTATCCATGTTTAGAGTTCTAGGATTAAAAAAGACAACAACTTGAATGAAATTTCTAATTTATTGTATAACAGATGGATAAATTTAGCTCTCGGTAGATAAGAATGTTAGCAGAGAATTCTGTGGAGTCCAACTTGTTTAGGAAACAAGGTTCGTAGATTTATATCAGGAACTCTATTTTATTTAACTCTAAAAGTTAAATAAAAATGTCAGCTTGCCTTGACAAATTTTTGAGCAAGCTATACGTTCTTTGAATGACATTCACAGATCGTCTACACAAACATCTTACACATAATTGACATTGTCTACACGTAGACATGTCATAATTTACGCGTAAACGTCCAGCCCTGTCTCAGACGGCTACATCATCGAAGACCAACTGAAATTATGCGTTCTTCCAGAGTAACACGACTGTGCTTGGCAGTGGTGGAGCGCCCGGAGGTTCAACGACCGCGAAGAGCGGGAACGGTAACGCCAGCGGCGGCGGTGGCGGTGGTGGTGGTAATAGTAGTAGCAGCGCAGTCGGCGGCGGCGGTGGAGGCGGCGGTGGAGGCGGCGGTGGCGGTGGCGGCGGCAGCAACATTAGCGGCAGCGGGTCCGGTCTGTCCGGCAGTTCGGCGCGCTACCCGCCGTCCGACTCAACGACGAGTAAGGGTGGGCCAACGTCAAAAAGTAATCCGCGCGGTCGCGGTGCCTATAGGAACGGCGGTCGCGGCGACCGGAGATAACATAAAAGAAGAAAGCGTTTCATTATATACGTAACATAATGCGATGCGAAAATATACGTCAAGACCGACGTAGACTCGTACGGCCGAACGCGATTGTAATATACCGTTTTTATGTTTCTTTTTAATCTCACGATCCCCGCGACCGAATCGTTCCCGCCGTTCAAATCCCTACCGACCTGGAACGCGTGATCCGAAACATGATCTTGTCAGAAGCGGTCCCGGGAGAAGCGATTACTAGGATGCAGCTTTACCCCTTGTGTTGAATGAAAGGGTTAGGCGACAATTTCCCAAAAAGTGGAGGGAATAATGTTAGTACTAAGGAAAATCTCTACACAATATAATTCAAAGGCCTGTTCTTTGTAATTGTACTGCTGAATTGGTGCGATAAATTGAAGTAAGTATATGTTTTCTCACTCTAACCTTTGCATTAGTTCAGTAGTGCAGTTACAAAAAACATCATTAAATTATATCGTATAGAGATTTTCCTTGGTACAAACATTATCCCCTCCAATTTTTGGGAAATTATCGCCTAACCAATGAAAGAATTCATCTGATGTTTCATGGAAGCACATTGATAGGCGCAAACTCGGCTGTACCAAGTTATCGCCGTATCTGCCGAGAAAAGAGACAAAGCTAGCATTCGACGTTACCTCTCTCGGATCGCTCTACTCGAGGATTGCACGGAAAGACGTTCCAGGACTGATGGGATTTGGCGGTTTTCGCACGTCCGAACCCGATTGTCGAGTCGCATGCGTCACAGTCTCGAGCAAGCTCTTGTTGAGGGAGAGAAGAAGAAAAGAAAGGGGGACAAGCATCTTCTTTATGGAGATAGATGTCTATTGAAAGGAAAAGAAACGAGTGCGATGACTTCACGGTCGTTTAGTAGTCGCAGCTACTACGTTACTGACAAAGAGGAAGCATCTGCGAATCGGCAATAGTCACGGTGACGATTATCTGCTGGCAATTCGCGCGCAATTCGAGCGGAAGCATGCATACTTGACGTATTTCCGTGGCGCGAACATGTCGCATATTAAGTTTATCCTGGCAATTGTATCAAGTATGATTCTATGTCCTCTTTGTGAAGACGGGTGTCTATTGGAAGGAAAAGAAATGAGAAGAGAGTGCGATGACTTCACGATCGTTTAGTAGTTGCTGCTGCGTTGCTGACAAAGAGGGAGCATCCGCGAATCGGCGATGGTTACGATGACGATAATCTGCTAACAGTTTGTGTGCAATTCGAGTGGAAGCATGAATACTTGGCATATTTCTATGGTGCGAACATGTCGCATATTAAGTTTGTCCTGGCGATCGTATACGATCGCGATCAATACTTCCCATCATTTAGAACTCGACGAAACTACAAGTTGTAGAGACATGCGATTGTATAGCATGCACATATAATAAAAACAATCCAGCCAGCAAAAATGTGCAAAATCAAGTCATAAGACCTCTTTAGGACGTCTTTAAGACATCTTTAAGACAATATCTTATAAATTTGTCTTAAAGATATCTCGAAGATGTCTTAAAAACGTTTTATGACCCGATTTTGGACATTCTGCTGTCTGGAAATGTACATGAGTGAATATATGTATATGATATGTATATGTATATTTCACAAGTGTTATTACAAATTATGAATTTCCCACTTCTGTATTTTCTAAATGATCAATAGTCCCAAAATCTGTATACAATTTTGGTATATTAGTTTTTTATTGAAAGCTTAATTTCAGAGTTTACAAGAAATTAAAAATAACACAACTCTAAGAAACGTGTATAAAAAGTGTCGACTCTAGTTTCAGATATCTCAACTATCGAATAGACGGCTACTTAAAACCTGGACAAAATTATAATGCGACTGTAATATTTATGCGGACCAGTTTGATCGGGACCGATGAAATTGACATGTATGTAACAATAGGGGGAAAAGGATATTTATGGTGAAAAATAAAAGAATTACGAGTAACGTTTGTGGGTATTTTTACTAATACTTTATTATTGTCCCTGCTTAAAGAAATAAAAACACGATAAGGATTAATAGTAATCTGTACAAATCTCGTTGAAAAATACTATGTGATTTTATTTAAATTTATCATTTTAATCAAATGTTTCAATTTCTCACATTTCAGTGCTTATATAACAAAGTTTATATATCAATTTCTTTCGTTTTATATCGTAACTTGTAACGTTTAAAGGATTTGGAAAGTCAGTCGCATATTTTCAGCGATGCATTGAAAGAATCATTCATAAACTTGCTATGTATTGAACAAAATTATGTTTCTATATATTTATTTTACCTAAATAATAATCTAAGTAATAAACGTTAATTTGGGAAAGAAAAAAAAATATGTGTATAAAATTCCGATAAAAATGATAAGTTCAAATAATGTATATATACGCACAATATTACAAATATATATACAAAAAAGAGATATAATTTTTTAATTTTTTAATTAATTTTAGTAATAATTTTAATTAATCTTAATTTTTTTCATTATTAATCTTAATTTTCTTATTAATGCTTCCCCAAATAACACAGAGAATTAAAAAAAAAAAAATTCAGTCGTATATCACCAATTCTCAGTTTATTTTCAGATGCAAAAAATTTTTTTCAGAGTTCAGTTTAAAAAATAATTCTTTAGAGTTTAGTTCAGCTCGGAAAAGAATTCTTTTTGTATCTAAAAATGAACTCAGAATTAGTAACATACGACTAAATTCTTTTTTAATTCTGTGCTATCTGGATCATCAGTTGATCCAATAGACGTGCATAGATAATAAAAAGAGGTATGTAAGTGTTTGAATATATGTATATGTATCATTATAAATTATGAACTTTCTACTTCTATGCTTTCCAAATAAAATGGTCAATAGTTCCAAAATTGATAAATAATGTTGGTACATTAGTTTTTAATATCATAGTTTTTGAGATTGAAAGTTTCATTTGAGAGTTTATAAGAAATTAAAAATAGCATAACTTCAAAAAGAGAGAACTCATATAAAAAAATGTCGATTTTAGTTTCAAATATCTCAACTATCGTATAATCAATATTTTATTTGGTTGCACGAACAGTTAATGTTTCAATTTATATGTGGTGCAAATTACAATAAATTCTCTTAACAAATTTATTTTAACAAATCCTTATACATATGCGTCAAATATTTATCTGAATACACATGTATTTCTATATAATTTTATCATTTTTTATCAAAAACAATTACATAGATTTTTCTTGTGTAATTCTATTGGATTCTTCAAGCAGGGATTTTATTTTTATTTATTTAAAGCAGTTCAGCTGCTTTAACGGCGTGTGAATTTGACAGCATATTATTGTTGGTATTTTTTTTTTATAATTCCCGTATAATCTCATATATATATATATATATATATATATATATATATATATATATATATATATATCATTATAAAATGATAAAACACCGCTATGTAGGATGTTATCGCAACGATAATTGCAAGGTTGATTCGTGTCACTTCTCAAACAACCGCAAGCTTTCGTTCAACGTCCGGTGTGTTCCATATTGCATGTATGAAAGTCGTTGGCGTTCGTTACAAATTTATTTCCTTCATATGCGTGCAGAATTACTTTTTCACGAGCGTCGCCGTGGTTTCTTTGATAATTCACGAAAGTACTCGCGATCTTTTGTTGTAAATATGGGAGCTATTGATTCATCAGGAAATCATTTGCGAAATATAAATTCTCGCAAACATTCCAGAGCATTATATTGAAAATACAAATATTAAAAATGTTAATACGATTTTGTCTAAATAAGTGAGGACGTAAATCACTGTATGTATAACAGTATCGATTTACACCGTCAACGCGACAGTGATTTCTTTTTTTGTCGACACGGTGTAGTGATTACGCGTTCGTGTGCAAGGTGTGCGACTGTGATCGACGGGTCTCAAAAAGAAAACGAAAGCAAGCATGTTTGCTCTGTCGTTGCCAACTTGACAGATAAACTCTCTATTCTCGCGAGCAACCGAAGCGAGAAACCCATCGGCAAAACGGTCATCGTTTTTCGAGTTAGATCGCGCGAGGCTTGACAGCTTCCGTGTCGCGCTTTCGTGTCTTTAGGTTATGTTCGCGCGTGTATGTCCTCTCGTTACCTTATGTTAATGTCAAGATAAGCTATCGTAATCCCATATCCTCGACATCATCGAGATCTGTTTTCTCGATTTTAATCTGCATTTTAATATTTGCCTCCAGGAAAGTGACGTTGACGTCGTGAACGGCATATGGACCTTATCAAACTTTTGATGTTTGAGGCGGCTAACACGTAGCGATTTTTCAAAAGTGATGATTTACTAGTAATTTCTTTATGTCCGGAGCTCCCCACAAGGCGGTACGTTTTTCATAATCTTGACTTGGCTACCAAACTTTATAACTTACTTTAATTTTTACTGCACTATATCGACAGTAATAACTAAACCTGTGTATATGTATGTGTGTTCCCACTCATGTTTTTTGAAAAATTAATTTCGCAGAAATCGATGAAAATGCAGTAATTGACATGTTTATTTTTATCATTTATCTGGAGGACTTTCCACACAGTTATATTATTTTTTTATGTAAAACAAATTTAATTTGATAAATGAATAAAGAAAAATTTTTTGCTGTCATACATATGACATTGGTAGCAAAAGTATTAAAAAATTCTCAAAAAGTTTTTTTTGAGAATAATTATACTAGTTATTTTATTAGAAAGAATGTTATCGCATAATTTATAAATGTTACAATTTATATATATATATATATATATATATATATATATATATATATATATATATATATATATA